TCATTCCCTCCACTCATCATCTTTCTTGGGATCTGATTTCCCCATTAGTGTCACTGTGGGAACTATGGAGTTGCTAAAAACTTATGCTCAGGAAGCCATTCTCTTCCTAAATTTCCGGAAATCTTTGAAGCTCTCAGGATTGGCTGCTGAGGACCCAACTGGCTGCTGGGGTTATTAGACCCCTAAAAAAGAGCTTTGTTTTATCTCAAAGCAGTGTTTCTCTCAAACCATATGGCCTAAAAATGACCATCACCAGAATCACCTGGAATGCTTGTAAAACTACAAATTCTAGCTCCACCTCAGACTGAATGGTTAAAAACTCGTGAAGGTGGCACCTGGAAATGTGCAGGTGAACAAAACAAGCACTCCTGGCGACCCTAATGCACACTAAGTTATGAGGACCACGAGTTTCTAAATGTGACTCCCAGGGTCACTCATTTTCCATGGCACTTTTCACCTCTTCTCCCAGTGAGACTGTTCCATTTTGCTCTGGTGCTAAAGCAACAGATGTTTTTGAATGCTTAAGTCTGTTAGGGAAATCTCAGGCGCAGTGAGAAAGGTCTCGCTCAGGTAAATTTTAGATGCCTGATGAAAGCTTCCCTACAGTCCCCTTTAGCTACTCCAAGCCCACCTACTTCATCTCCCAAATACCAGTCCCCTCTGGGAATAGGCACTCCCGTGGCAATGTTACCCACTAAGGCTCAGTTCCTTTCTAATCATTCAGAGAACTCACTCCTCATAACTGAGCTATGGGCACTATCCTATCAAAGTCCTATTGTGGCTCTTCATGACACAGAGGGTGGCAACAAGGAAGTAAAACTATTTTTTTAAGAGCAGAAAAGTAGGACAGCCCTGGGTTATCCTAATACAGTCAGAGACACCTAGATTCTGTGTCCTAGTGATGAAAGGAATAGATATTTCTCCCAAGAGTCCAGGGGGCAATAATACTAGAGTGTTTCCCTGTTCAGGACTTCCTGTCCTTTCCCTCATTGACCAGCCACCTGTGTCCTGACACATACTAGCTAAAGAAACTTTTCCAAATAGCCTCACCTGGGAAAGAGATTAAAGCCAGCAGGGCCCAGACACCAAAGAGTAGCATTTCCATCCTTATGAGAAAGGCCAACAGCTGGAGAGAACGAAAAGAACAATGCTGGAGAAAGTGACCAAAAAAAAAGATACAGAAAATTATTTCTTTGGTATTTTTTAAAGCCAGCTCCTTTCCTGAAACCTTACATAGTTTGGAGAAGCTGCAGCAAGAGTGTCAGTGGTGTGGGTGATATGAAAAGAACATCTTGCTTGTATTTTGGGTTGGTTTATGCATATAGCAAAAAGACGCAGGAAAATAATAGGGAATATTAGATTACGTGGAAGTCCTGTATAAGCGTGTATCGCACTTGTCTGTTTACATGTTTGCTTCTGTTTGAGTCAACAGAAGAAGGCTGTTAGCATGGAACCATGAAAAACAAAGTTTAGAGGGATAAAATCTGATGGTGTTTATCTAGCACTGTCCTGCAGACAGTGACCCTGAATCTAGAAAATGGTCACTGGAGTCCCAGCCTCTGATGTAAGGGAGACATGTTTCATCAGGCCTTTCTTCATGATCTCTATGAAACACTCCTCAAGATAATCCGTCTTTCCTGATCTGCTTCCATGTTCATCAATGGATTACTTCTAGGGCTGAGTTAAATGTAGAGTGTCCACTTCTCTTTTCTCCACCAAACCATAAGTGTTTTCCTTCAACACCTCATTCTAGCTTTTTTCTCCTGAGAAAGGTTTCTTGACAGACCCTGTCCAACTTCACAACCCCTCACTTATTCACATTATCTGTGCCTCACTTTATGCAAAGCATGAGTCCTATAGCTCATGGATATTAAAAAGTCTAGATAGAAGACATTTAGGGAGTATGGTTTTCATTGGAAATGGGGGTTAGAGGTTGTGCTTGCATATTGGTTTTACTTAGAAGTGTATGTTACAGATCAATCAAATAGCAGTGTTTTAAGTATTTTTCACATCTCACGTAGGATTTAGAAAATATCCATTGTTCATCTTGAAGGGCACAGGAAAATGGCCCTCTCACTGTTTCAAGGGCATGCATAACATTATTTAGCGGTATGATTCTTTTCATGTCAGTCACATTAACTCATACACTGCAGAATGCCAATTAACGTTTTTATTATTTTTTTATTGTGGGCACTATTAGAATCCCGATGAACTTTCTAATTCCTTGTCACAAAGTGCTCTCTTCGTAACACCTACTCCGAGCTGGGCGTTCACTGCTGACCTACAGGCACGTTCTCAGTCACATCCTGTCTAGTAATTCCTAACATTGGGAAAACGTATACGGTGCTCCGGACACTGGACTGAGTGCTTTGCTTTAATCACCCCCGCTTTTACAGGTGAGACGGGGGCTAAGAGAAGTAAAATAACTTATTCCAAACCACACAACTAATTAAGAGGTTCAGGCAGGATCCAAACCCAGGCGACGGTCTGAGGACTTCGCCGCTTCTAGATATTCTGTGAGTCCATATTATTTATCTGTGCTTGGATGGGGCCAGAGCATCACAAACAACTCTGAATGGAGGGTCATCTAAGAGCGCCCAGCACCCTCCCCTTTACCTCTGAGGCCTCTCAGTATGTCCACCCCCCTCCCCGGACCGCAGGCCTGTGAGCGCAGGGGGTGTGTGTGCGCGTGCGTGTGTGTGTCACTGATGGATCCCACACGTCCAGAATGGTCGTAGGAGTTAAACAACCATGAATGAACGAACCAGCCAACCCACCGGTGAGGAAATTTACAAATACTTGTGGGAGGACCCGCGCCCACCATTTGGCTGCACAGAGCAGAAGGCCAGCTCTGGCTCCGAAGGAGTTTCCACTCGAGGGTGGCTCTCACGCTCGTAGCCCCGCAGCCCGTAAAGGCTTTTAAAGGGAATGGCATTTAAAACATTAAAAAAATATACGTGGAAAAAAAAAGACAAGTGCTCCTTAGGGTTTCCAGCCCACGAACGCGTGAGGAGGCGAAGCTGGCCCTGAGGCCAGATCTGTATAGGTTCCTCGAGGAGACACCGGCATGAACCCGAGCAAACAGAACCAAGCCTAGATCCTCACTGAGGGCCGCTCCCCGCCGCTCCCGCCGTTCCTCTCCTCGGGTCGCTCGGTCCACTCGCCCGCCCGTCTCGCACGCCTCGCCTGCCGCGCTCTCGGGTCCCGCCACGCGCTGAGACCGTTTGGTCGCTCGAGGAGGCGCCACCAGGCGGGGGCGCGCGAGGGCGCTCCTGATCTGCCTAGAAACTCGTGACGTAACGCAGAAGCTTCGCCAGGGTTGGCTGAAACAAGGGAGGCGAGCAGGAAGCTAAAACGAGAGGAGGGGTGCGCGGGGGAGATCCAGGTAGGCAAGTCGGGATCCTGCTCGGCAGAGAAAGTCTATTTGGCTCAAGTTCATCGCAACTACATAAAAATTAAAACAAAAGGAAAGGGTTTAATTTTGTTGCAGAAAACAATGGCTCCATCGGTAAAACCAGGGGTGGTCTTCCCCTGCGCCTGTTCCTCTCGTGGTACGGCCTGGAGACGCGAGCCGTTTGGCGCCGGAGGAGGCTGCGCGCGCAGCTGCCTTCCCGCCTCAGACCGCGGAGCTCGGTGGGCGTTGGACCTCGGTCCTCACGGGCTCCAGGTCCTGGCCGGCCCTCTCGGCCCGTTTCTGGATGTGCCGAGAGATGGGTTTGGCAAGACTCAGCCAGCATCCGAACAGTCACTTTTGTGTGCCGCCTTCACATGCACGTCACAGGCTTGAGCGGACCAGACTTTCCTCATTTCCTGCCAAACGGGCCTGTGTTCTCGCTTCCCTCAACCGCGAGGGAGCCATGGGAGTGGGAGAGAGAGAGTAAGCCCACCTGTTTCGTCTCTCCACCCTGTACCCCTCTCCTGAGTTTCCATGTCCGATGTCTTCCCAGGTTGGGTCTCAGAACATTGTCCCTAGTTTCTCATCTGTCAAAGGGAATGACATTTAGTTTATATAGAGAGGACCATTTTTAAAAAAAATTTTTTCAGTTACAGTTTACATTCAATATTATTCAGTCCCTATGTGGCTTCTTCTGTAAACCGTTGGTTATAACACTTGTGTTCAGCTGGGCTTCAGTTGGCCGTTCAGGTTGGTTCATCTATGTAAGTCGTAAATCCTTTTGGCGCGTGCAGCTTCCACCTTCAGGTGTGCAATGGATGGTAGTCTTGTCTGACTTTTACAGCCTCAAGAAGGTGTTTCCTGGCTACTCTCTCAGAGTACTGGGCTTTCTTTTTCTTTACAGCATGTATCACTACCCGGCGTTGAGGGAACCATCCCGTGGTGCCCTCCACTAGCTTCTATTAGCCCATCTCTTCCCAGCTTGGCATTTAGTGATAGCAGGTTGGGGCTTGAAGACATTCATGGTGGGGAAGTACTTACATCACTAACATCGTCAAAGGTTACAAATTAGGGAGGAGGGGAGTTTTCTTTTTGAGTACTGGTTGTTAAGCCTTCGCTAGAATACTGCTGTATATAGCTATGTATTTATCTGTTTACCACCCCTTGTCCCAAAGGTGGCGATGAGAATTTGGATCTGTCTGACCAACAAGCTTGGTTCATCATCCCACCCCTGTCATCCTCTATCAGTAGGAGAGAATGGAGGATACGATGGATAACGAAATGGAGAATAAAATCTATAATTACTGGTTTGAAACAGTATCAGGACCCCAGTATTTCCTCCACAGCCAACTATTTTTGAAGTAAGAAAAGGCTTAGAAGTCGGTAATGGGTGGGGCTGAGAGTCAGGTGTACTAAGGTGAAGAAAGTGGTGGTGGAGTGGAGAAATGGTGCTAGGTGCCATTGATGTGGGGGTGCTTTGGGAGAAGGGGCTAGAATGTATGTATCCGTTCATTTGTGCATGCATTATTCCTGTGTGTCTCTGCTTCTCCACCTAGATTATGAACACCTCAAGAACAATGGTTAGGTTTCATCTTCCTTCTTCTAGTACCTAACATACTCCAACTACATTAGGTGCTCTCAGATATGTGGAATTAATCATGAATACTTAACACATTCTTTGCACAAAGAATGTTTTAATAATTCCCAAAATACAGAAACATCTTCATTGTGGTCCTCTTGGTTTACAAATGACAATCAGCAGCCAGGGTCCTGGGCCTGGATGGGAACAAGGAGTAAGCCCGAGAAAACCATTTATTCCTGGGGCTCTGGTCAGTTTTATTTGTAAATGGAAAGGGAAGAAAATAACATGAAGTGTAGGCAAGAGGCAGAATCCCCACGGGAGGAGAGGAGTTTTAGAATGACTCCACAGCAGGCCTGCACCCTGCCTCATCCCATGTGACATCCTGTTACCCAGTAGGAGAGTGGCCGGCCGGCACAGTGTATCGACCATTCTGCCCTGTGGAGAGAAAAAGACTGGTTCTTGCTTCCCACACACGTGACCCAGCTCTTAGTGAGTCTTCCACGCAGAGCAACTTGGTGCCCAGCTCTCTCATCTATCTTTCTGCCGCCCCTCTGATTCTGCCTTTAAGTTTCCCTTGTCCACGGTATTTGTACTTTCCCCCCAGTCAGTATGCTTTGACATTTTAAAATCCTTCTCTCTTTCTGAAGGGGGAGAACACTGTTTTACGGGCTGAGAGTTACTAATATATAAATATCCCAGGTGCAACCATTGCCTCTCCCTCCAGAAAGGCTCAGCCCTAACAGTCATCATGCCCCTTGTTTTGCAAGGCATTTTTAGAGGATGCAAGGCACTTAACTCCTTCCATCCGCACAGCTGCCTGCAGAGGCAGCCTTTTACATTATTTATGTATCCAGCTTAAAGCACAGGAAAGTTAAGTAACCATCCCAACGTCCAGTGTTGGTAAGCTGGCAACTTTGGGGCTGACTGCCAGATGATGAGCAACACATTTTTATAGAAAATGTTGCTGCCAGTGATGAAGAGAGAAATGCTGTGGCAGCCATGATTGCATTATTTTAATTGTTCCCATGTCTACAGCTGATTGAACCAAGTGGGCACATGGGGTCGAAGCTGAGCCAATCGGATTCTCTTTCCCAGGCACTTTGACGGGGTCTGGGCTTAGCTAGTCCCAGTGGTTGCTTAGGATGTTAGACCCTAAACGTAGGCGGCGTAGTCTGTCTTGTAGACCCGGAGCAGAGAAAGCTGGTCTGCAGAGGGAGTAGTGAAGCAAATGCATCAAGAGAAGCAGAAACCTGCCAATTTCCAGCCCAACTTCCACTGTGTTCCTGAGGCCCAGCTGCACCCCTTCTGCGGGCTCAGCAAGCCACCGAGTCTTCTCAGATCAGCTCTCCCTCAGCTAGCTCAGGTTGTTTTGTTACTGCAGCCAAAAGACTTTTCTTTAATATCAGAGAAAGAACTAGATCTCAGGTCTTCAAGTCAGAGTTCCAAGCCCTGCCACTGTCCCACACTAGTCTAGACTGCAGAAAAGGTCTGGTCCTTGCCTACTGCCCCTTTCCCTGTCACCACACCCTTGTTAGGGCTCTGCCCACTAACTTATTCCTACAGTGTCCTCCTCACCAGTTCTTCATCCCCCCTGCTCTGGACACAATCTTTTTTGCACAGTGGATGGTTGCGAGAAGATTGGGGCTCAGCAGGTCTGAAAAGGAGAAAGAGAGTACCTGTGAGAGCAGAGGACAGTCCCAGAGACTGAGGCAGACTCTTGCTCTCCCGCCCAGGCGTATGTTTCCTGGGGGCTGAGTACTTCCAGAGTAGGCGAGGCCTCCCTCCTAGAGGCCCATGTAGACATCCCTACAATGCCTGCTGGAGGTCGGGGTGGCCAAAGGTGGGGACAGGAAGACTGAGATTTGGGTCTGTTTACTATTATAGTTTTTAGCCAGAGTAGATGGTGGTCCACCCAAACTTTGGGAGTTTCTAGGGAAAGAAAATGCCAACACAAGCAGACAGTGAAGTCCTGACGAATGAGGGAACTCTCTAGGTAAATGTCCAGGGACATTAATCAGAATACAAAAGATGAGGTGAGGGGCAGAGTTATGCACCTGTGGAGTCTACTGGACCAGCTCTGAAATGGAGAGTTTGCCCTTGGCTTTTGGTCAGATCATTAGCCAAAGACACTTATTGGTTTAGAGCAGTGGTCGGCAAACTCATTAGTCAACAGAGCCAAATATCAACAGTACTTCTTCAAAATAGACTCGCCCAGGCTGAAACCCGACTTCTGCACACGGGCCATGAAGTTTCAATCGCACTGTATGTGCGCCCGCACGTGGTATTTTGTGGAAGAGCCACACAATGGGGCCAAAAAGTCACATGTGGCTCATGAGCCGCAGTTTGCCGACCATGGGTTTAGAGGGACACTTATTGGTTAGCCTCCAGGATCACCAGCCTGGCCACCACCAATTCGATAAGCCTCAGTTTGCTCTTCTGTAAAGTGGGAATACTGGTTTTCACAGCATGGAAAGTTGGATGAAATCAGCTATGCATGTAAAGTGCTTAGTACATAGCATGCTCTCAATAGATGCTGGCTGCTGCTCTACTGCTGCGGGCTGTGCAGAGCCCTCCTGGACCCTGCTCGAGGACACAGAAGAATCTCCTAACGGATGAGCATTGTGGCCACTAGTCAAACCTGCTCAGTAAAGGAAGCCCCTGATTTCCTGAGCCATCCCTCTGGGGGCACTTTCAGACTGCAGGTGGAAAGAGAAGTGCTGTGAGTAGAACTTGGTCATCTTCCCCGCCCCCCCCCCCCGCCCCCGCCCCGGGCCCTGGCCAGACCTTGGCATGCCACATGGCAGGTGTTTTCCGAGTGACTCTGGTAATCGTTGCACCAGTAGTGGCTGTTGATCTGGAAGATGCCATAGTCAGAGCTGCCATCTGCATATTCATTTACCTTTGACATATTGAAATGGCTTTCCACAAACGCTAGGCACAGCCCTTAGGGAAAAAGAGAAGAGGGTGCTAGAGGAGGCCAAGCTGAGGGAGAAGGGAGATGAAGGAGAAAGGGAAATGAGGACTCGAAAGAAACAAGGTCTAAGAGGCTAGATGGGGCTCATGGGCTAGAAACACCTCCCAGCTTCTCCTCCCATCCTTTGGTCCATCAGCCCACCCATCAGTTTAACAATTCATCTTCCCATCCATGCTTCCGGCACTTAATAATCACCTACTGGGTGCCAGGAACTGTGCAAAGCCCAGCGAGGGACACTTAGTTGGTCCAAAGACAGATGCCGCCTTCAAATGGCCTATAGTACAAGAATGAAGATATGGACCTACAAATACCACAAAATAAATTAAAAGATGAAAGTGTTGTAGGACAGGTGTGCACAAATTCTGGGCAAAATGGAGACATCCCTAGCATACAGTAGTGTGAAGCCTTTGCATTGACTGTTCCCTCTGCCTGGAATGCTCACCTAGACATTTGGGTGACCATGCCCTTTACTTTATGCAGCACCGTTCAATGCCACCTCCTCAGAAAGGCCTTCCTTGACTTTCCTTTCCAGTACAGTGTTACCTATCACCTGCCCCCTGTTTTATTCTTCTGCATAGCACTTGTCAACACCAGGAAATACTTTATATATTTTTGTGTTTGTTAATTGCTTGTCTCTTCCCCAGAATGTGAACACTATGAGAGAAGTGGCTTTGTTTATATCCCTAGCACCTAAAATAGTTCCTGGTATATAATAAATACTCGAATAATTGTTGAATTAATATGGAATGTTGGGAAAGGTGTCTTGGAGGGGGCTGCTTTTTGAACTTGGCTTTCAAAGACGAGAGAGAGAAAGAAAGATGGCCAAGTAGGAGATGACCAGGACAGGAGAAATGGGGGTGAGGGATGAGGAAATGGCACTCACAGTCACTCACGGAGTAGCCCTCAAACCCATCCAAATCTTCCTGGTGCAGCAGCTTGGCCAAGTCACAGCGATTGATGAGGCTGGCCTGGGTTATGGCAACAAGGCAGCTGAACAAGGAGATGAATAATGCCCTTGTCATCCTCGGAGGGGAGAAGGTTAGCTGAGGGCCTGTGGTTCTTAGGGTCTCACAGACTTCCTGCTGGCTTTCTCTCTGAAAGTCTGAGAAATCTGGAAAGAGAAGCCAAACATCCTCGCTCGCTCACTGCTCCCCTCCTGGCTGCTTCGTCTCTTCTTAAGTATTATGTACTATTCTGACGAGGGATGCATAACCTATATCTAATCCCAAGGAAACATCAGACAAGCCAAATAGAGGGAACTTCTAGAAAATAACTGGCTTATAGTCTTCAAAACAGCCAATGCCATGAAAACAAAGAACGGGGCTATTTTTGACACTAGTGGTGTTTGTGCGTGTGCATGTGCGTGTGTGTATGTGTGTATCTTTCCCCTTAAACTAGGTGTATGTTCATGAGAGCAAGGGCCTTGGTTTCTCTATCCACCAGCTCCCTGAGTCAGACATGAAGCAGTTTCTGCTTGAACAAGGTGGCTACCCTGATGGCCTTGTCTCCTCACAGATCTTTTGTTCTGTCTTCTAAGACTCACTCCATGCCATCCTGAGCTTGCAACCATTCTTTTGTTTCTCTCTCCCACCCTAGAGTTGCCAGACTTAGCAAATAAAATCACAGGATGTCCAGTTACACGAGAATTTCAGACAAACTACGAATAGTTTTTTACTGTAAGTCAGTCTCATGCAACCCTATCCTGCCCTGACTGAGCAGGTTCCTTCAGAGACACGTGTCACTGAGCCTTGGAAAGCAATGACGTCCACTCTTGAGGTCCCCTTGGGGAAGACAGTGGTTCTGGCAGGTGCATTCTTACCTCCCCTTCTGAAGCTTACCTCTCTCCTACCCCTCTCTGACTCCAGTCCCAACTGGCCCAGGAATTTCTGTGAGAATCTGTAGAACAAGCTGTTTGGGTAGGAGTCTCCTCTTCCTCATGAACTATACTCTAGCCCCGCCCAGGTCACAGCTGTGCCTGTTCTAAAGAAGGTGGGAATGCTGGGCAACCCCCACCCCCCACCCCCTGCCTCCTGGAACCCCAGTTCTGTGACATCATCACTCTCTTGGAAATACTCTGGTCTTAACCATGCAAACTGACTATGTCTTTGAAAGCTTAATTCAATTTTAAGTAACTTTAAATTTTAAATTATAAATTTAATTAACACTTTAACTTAAAACTTAAGTAACTTTTTATGCAAAAATATTAAAATTTAGAATTCTAGCATTCAATGTCCATCTGGTTATCAGTGTAAATAATTAGTATCATGTTATGTCTAAAGTGCAGACGTATAGACAAATTTAAGAGTGATGCGTAATGTGATTTATGTAATATTGCAAAAATGTCCTCAGCTTCCATTTACGACTGAGGCAAATACTGTACTAATTCACAGGTACCTCCAGAACCACGAACAGGAACACAAGAACAAGAAGAAATTGTACACTCGGCATTACTAGAAAATGCTATTTCATTGCACTCATTTCTATCGCTATCTGAGAGGAAAGCTCCGACAAGTTCATTAATTTGTCTTTTCTCTTACGTAAGTACTTTTCTACTCAAAGCTTCTTTGCACTTTCAAATACAGTGGGGCCTTGACTTACAAGTGTCCCGACTAACGAGTTTTTTCGAGATATGAGCCGTCTCTCGGCCGATTTTTTGCTTTGAGTTGCAAGCTAAAATTCGGGTTACGTACGAGCCAGCTTCAGATACCCCACCGCTAGTTGGCGCAGCGAACGTCACAGTGATTTGACATACAAGTAATTTGAGTTACGAGCTCCGTCACGGAACGAATTAAACTTGTAAGTCAAGGCCCCACTGTAGTACCTAGCATGGGCCCCATTAAGCTTTCATTAAACCTGCAGAAGCAGTTGCAGTTTTGCCCCCATAGACTTAGGTAAGATGTGAAGAAGCACCTCCCAGTCAAGAGAGTGGGTGTTTGGTTAGCTCGTGCTGTGCCGGGCTGTGGGCCAGATCCTGAGTGACAGAGGTGTCTGTGGTCCTTGATACATTTAATTATTTTGTATGAGGGGGACTGGAAAGTACAGGGCACAGGTAGGAGCTCCTCTTGCCAGTTCTAAAGGTGACAGTAGAAAAGACAGTAGAAATCAATTGCTATGGAAAATGTGAGGAAATGACTGTTCTAAGTTTTCAGTAAGATACAAGAAAAACTTCAAATGATACAGCCCGCTGAAATGCAGAACACACAGAACCAAAATCAGTGACAGAGATGAAATCTGCACTGAAGGTAGAGGAGCGGATTCCACACTGCGGAAAACTCAAACAAGGGTGAAGTCGCACATTTGAGAAGTTCTCCACATGCAGAGCAGAAAGACACGGGGGAATCAATGAGACAAAGAGGATGGATATGGACGACGAATATTACAGACTTATACTGGGCCAAAGACACCAGTGCTGAAAAAGGTGTGGGTGCAGATCTGACGGCAGCCTATGTCCCAGGAAAGGACAGTCACCACTTAGACATACTCAAACCATATAAGACTGTGAGTGTTTGGCTTTATCATCAAGTTTAAACTTTACCCCACAGAACATATCCCTTTTCTTTTTCTTTTTAAATATATTTTATTGATTTTTTACAGAGAGGAATAGAGAGGGATAGAGAGTTAGAAACATCGATGAGCGAGAAACATCGACCAGCCGCCTCCTGCACACCTCCTACTGGGGATGTGCCCGCAACCAAGGTACATGCCCTTGACCGGAATCGAACCTGGGACCCTTCAGACCGCAGGCTGATGTTCTATCCACTGAGCCAAACTGGTCTGGCCCTTTTCAAATACTTTACAAATCATTTATAAAATAGACTACAAATAATACTCAACTTCCCCTTCCAAAGGAGGAATTATATAGGCTCCATACTCTGGCAACAACTAAAACAAAACAAAACAAAAAACAATCACACACACACACTTCCCTCCTGAGTATTGGGTCAAAGGCAAATTAAAATCTGGAATAACAGGTTTCTAAAACCATGAAAATGACATTAACATACAAAGTTTATGAAATCAGAGTGTTGATAACAGTTTATGGAAGAGGGAGTTATGGATCTGTCAAGCTTGAGAACTCCAGCATCAGGTAGATTCAGAAATGGAGAAAAGCTTTTCACACATCTCTAGTCTCAGGCCAACTCACTGTGCAATTTATCCAGTGGCCACTAGAGGCCAGCAGCGGCCCATGCCCAGGAAGTGTATGGGGGGTGGGGGGGGGAGGCCGGGGGCAATATCTCCATTTTATACAGTAGTAGAGCTGGGATTTGGGATGAGGTCTCTTTAGTTTCTGATTCCACCTTGTTGGTCCCTCAACACCAAGAGACTTCCCTGTGCTACCATATATTTAAATTTTTTATTGATTGATTTTTTTTTAGAGTGAGAGGAAGGGGAGAGAGCTATTTGTTGTTCCACTTATTTTTGCATTCATTGGTTGATTCTTGTATGTGCCCTGAGCAGGAATCAAACCCACAACCTTGGCATTTAAAAACTCTTTCCAGGGGAGTCAGAGGTCCATCACTGTTTTATAACAATGTTTATCAGATTTGGATGCCACATTCAAACGTTAGAACCAACTGTGGAACCTCCACTTTTGAGGGAGAAGATGGAATGGAGACAGCTCAGGAAGTGTAGTACAGTAGAGAAACTTGGGAGCCAGATAGGCTGCCACTTACTGGCCCTGTGACTTTGACTGAGTTCCTCCACCTCTTTGAGCCTCACCCTGCAGAGAGGAGGCAGAGAGATAGAGGGTGTGAGCCCAGGCACAGGTAGGTTTGATATATGGCAGCTACTACTATCATTTTTATTAAAAACTAGTGACCCGTTGCACGGATTTGTGCACATTGAAAAGAAGTTAATTAGAAGGTGGCCAGTGGGGCGGGACTGGGTGAAATGGGCTGGGCACGCCCTGGAGCCAACCTCCTGCGGTCCCTCCCCAGCATCTGTGGAGTGAGTCCAGTCCCTCCGGCAGGGGGGTCCCTCAACCTGGCCTGCAGGGATCGGGCTGAAACCGACTCTCCAACATCCCCCGAGGGGTCCCGGAGTGTGAGAGGGCACTCTGCAAAGTTGCTGTCATACAGGGTGTGGAACACAAACGCAAGTGTGCAGTAAACCAAATTTGGGGTCAACAGTGTTCCAGCAACAACATAACTCACAGCCAAAGGTGAAATTGCGCAGCCCCATGAGGAATCAGGCTCCTTCCTCTCTGGTTTCCGGGTGCATCACCCAAGAACTGCCACTGCCAAGTCACTGCAGCTCAGCAGCTCCTGTGCTGAGCATCTGCCCCCTGGTGGTCAGTGTGCATCATAGTGACCAGTCGGATGGTCAGACACTTAGCATATTAGCCTTTTATATATATAGATGAGTAGCTTAGAAAGACTGCAATCCCTTTCTTTATGTAGGAAGGACTCAATCTGGGAACAGTGGGTATAAGTTGTGTTGATTAGCAGTCAGCAGGTTGTGTTGATGAGAAGCCAGGGTCTTTCTAGGGAGCATGGGAAAATTCCAGGGGCAGCAGAGGCTCCAAGTAGATAAGTGGTGGCTGCCAGCTAGACAGCTGCAACAGTATCCAGGACCAGCAGCTGTGGATGAACTTGGACAGGTCCAACTTTGGCAAAGCCAATCCTTCTCCTTCCATACGCATAGCAAGAAGCTTCCTGACTGCTTATAAAGAAAGAAGACACAATCTTCATTGAGCACCTATTTTGTGCCAGACACTGAGCACTCATTCATGCCTGTGATCCTGTCAGGTGGGCACACTCACCCCATTTAACACTGGTGGAGCCTGAGATTTAAAGGCTTCAGGACCTGCCTAAGTCACAGAGCCCTGCTATCTCCACGAGGTTCAGACCTGCCTCGCTGTTGGGCAACAGTAACAGCACCTGATGGGTGTGCTGTGTACAGGAATGGCCTGGCGACCTCTTGTTTTATTAGATGCTAATTTCTCTACATTTTACCAAAATATAAGTATATGGCTTTATAAGCAACTGTTTAATGGGTATGGAACTTTCTTTTGGGGTGATGAAAATGGTTTGAAACTAGATATAGGTGGTGGTTGCACAACACTGAATGTACTAAATGCCACTGAATCATTTACTTTAAAAGGGTTCATTTTAGGTATTGTAAATCTCACTTCAATAAAAATAAAGAGAGTCGGATCCTGGCAGCAGCTGCAGCGGCGCTCATCTTTCCAGGCTCTTCTTGCTATCTCCTTTAGCTTCCGAAACATGGCCTCTGGTGTGCCTGCCTCTGATGGAGTCATCAAAGTGTTCAATGACATGAAGGTACGTAAGTCCTCGACACCAGAGGAGGTGAAGAAGCGCAAGCAGGCGGTGCTCTTCTGCCTGAGTGAAGACAAGAAGAACATCATTCTGGAAGAGAGCAAGGAGATCCTGGTAGGTGATGTGGGCCAGACAGTAGACGACCCCTATGCCACCTTCATCAAGATGCTGCTGGGCTATGCCCTGTATGATGCAACCTATGTGACCAAGGAGAGCAAGAAGGAGGAGCTGGTGTTTATCTTCTGGGCTTCTGA